TGGATGATTGAGCACACACACTTTTTAGATGCTAAGTGCACTTCCAGTCACTCATTAGATTTATCAAATGTAAATTTTTCTAGGATTTTTGAGTCCTGGTACACAAGGAGCCTGACCATGCCCTCTTGTGCATGTCAAAGAAGATCTTATGACCTCACAGGACACAGGGGACATGCACTAGCCATGTCCTATCTCAGCTGAAAATTACATATTTCCAATATTGCACTGAGAGAGGGTGGGAAGGTAGAATGTGGGTGCAAGGGAGCCATCAGCTGGGGCTTCTCAGGGCTGCTCCCTGATGTTCAGGTCTGGCTAGTTTGACTGCTCAGGCTGTGTACCCTCACATCCTGCCACTGGAGAACAGCTCTTCATTTTTGGTCCCCATAACCCTGGGGACCAAAGTTAGAGCAAGGCCCTGCACTGTTCCACCACCTTCATTTGACATACCTCCAACATGATGTGCACAGCTATGTTTTATCTATGCCTGTCACTTGAGATACAGTACATAGCCAATATATATTTGTGAGGAGAAGAAGAAGAAGGGAATAAAGGAAGAGAAGAAGTAAGAAACAGGGGAGGGAAGGAGGACAGGATCATAAGATAGCAAATACTTCTGAATGAGCTACATGTTTTCTTCAACTGGCCCGTCCATCCTAATGCCCTGCCCTATTGGTATTGTCTTTATCTTACAGCTCATAGTATTTCTGGCTTTAGACCACTTCCTCCCACCTCTAGCTTACCATGGTCTAGCCCTATTAGGGCTTCTCCATTAGACCTTTCAGCCAGACCCTTCCTTACTAATTGCCTTCTCTGTACATCTCTCAGTCCAAACTCCCAGGAGATAGAGAATCATGTTGGCCAATTTCCTCTTTTCTATATTTTAATCCCGTTGTATCAGAGGTCATTAATGGCTTGGCTAACTTTATATCAGAGGCTCACCTTTATGTCAGCTGTGTTTAGATTTATTGGGAGCGGGATATTTACTTTGTAAACATTTTCCTTTCAAAATGAGCTCATCCAGTGGCCTGCCTTTTTATTAGCAGCAACACCTCAGTACCATAGCAGCCAATATATTTTTACAAGACACATATCTGGGACCAGAATCATCTTATTAGGATGACAGTGAAGCCCATAAAACACATCATCTGTAGAGCTTCTTGGCACATGCCAAGACAGCTGTCACAGAGGGAATCCCCTCCTCCTCATCCACTCTCCAACCTGCATCATCTCCACATAAGTAAATTATTTTTACACAATAAAGCACCCATACAGAAAACATTTTCAGGTGTAAATAGGCCGGCTTTCATTTGAACAAAACTCTATTTGCTTTATTATTTCACAGGGCACAATTTACACTGTACTGGGCATTGGCATCAGCAGAGGGGAGTGGGCATGAACTGTCAATTTCCAAATTAAGGCACCAGAAAGACCTGGTATATTAGGCCAAAACTGGTGGGAAGGGGGAAATGAGTTCTTCCTCATCTCCCCGTGCTGGAATATGTTTAAGTGGAGAATTTTGATGAGGGATCCACAAAGCTGAGCTGATGGAATTACTGTGTTTTTGTGATTATTCCAGTCAGTGCTCAGTGACCCACTACACCCAACCCTCCCAGCCTCCCCTAAGTTTACAAAATAATATTTATTTTAAATCAATCAAATTTCCCTAGAGGTTTTCACCAGAAACCCAAATATAATTATAAAATCACACCATCTTCCTAACTATGCATGTATTATTCTAACAGAAAAATATATCTTCAATACAATGCAGAAAGAGCGAACATTTATAAAATGCACTTTAATGGCTTCCAAATAACAATATTAAACTTAGAGTTGAGCACATATACCACAATGAGAAGAAAAAGAAGAAGTACGTACGAGACGTGATTAGACTCTTACTATGGTTGGAATTAAGTAGCCTTTCCTTGTTTAAGTGAAGTTGATTCAGCTTCCATCTTCATTTCAGCAGCCTACTTATTCAAATCCTAGAAAATTGCTAACTTCATCCACACTAGGCAGCACAAGGGCCTGAGGGGATGAGCTTGTCTTTTATTTATTCACTAGGGTTCTATAGCATTGCTGTCTCCAAAGAGCTCCAGCCACTGCAGAGCATGTTCAGCTGATGTTAGACCAAGCTTTCATGGAAATAAGGAGTGGATCTATGTCTGAGGAGAAGTTACAGAAGAAGAGAGAAAACACAGGATGAGAGCAAGAGAAAATGGAAACGTTTTTAAAGGGGTGGGAGAGACATGAGCAGCCTAAAATGCCCAAATAAAGAAGTGAAGTCCCAGAGTCAGTTCTGTCCTTAGTTCATATGTGGGGAGTGTGACAAAGCCTACTGCTTCAGAGGAGCAGTTTTGAATATCTTCTGATTTTTAAATTTTGTGACAGACTCTCATTAAGCCATCAAGTTTCCCAGACTGGGCTTGAACTTCTGCCTCAGCCTCTCAGTGCTGGGATTACAGGAATGCACCACCACACCTGGCTAAAATCTCTGAATGCTTTTCTTAGAATTACATGTGTTAGGTAAACTTCTAGGAATCTCGCTTTTGATAGATTAAGTTCAAATGTCATATGCTGGTAAAATCTAGTGTTCAAATCAATGCTTACTTTATTATATTTTTATATGTTTGTATGTAATAAATAAAACTTCCTCCCACTTTTCCTGGGGCTGTTGTGACCAAGTTTTGTGTTGCTGTTTATTTTGTTTTGTTTTTTAATAGTCCATACCTTCTAAAAAGTCCTAGAAGTCACAAAGAGAAAGGGTAGGAGGTGGCTGGGTGCACAGGAGGTCAGGGGAACCTCTGCCAGGACATGCTTTCCTCTCCTCCCCTGCCAGTGTGACTGGGGAGCTGTCCAGAGGCCTCTTCACCCCTAGCAACTGTTGGGCTCCTTCTATGACACTGAATCTCTACCAAACTCATTCCTTAGTGGATCCAGCCAGCTTCATGGGAATTTCAACACTAGCCGTAAAGAGAAAGTAAGGGAATGGATTATGGTGAAATCATGGGCAATATATGGCATTTAAAAAATTATATTTTGTGAGAAAAAGGGAGATCTGAACAGTTTATTCATTGTATATCCTACTTAATACTAAACACTATTATTTATTAAAACACTGATAATTACTTACTTTAAAGATTAAACACTGACAGTCCAACAAATGACTCATAAATAATTAAGTCTGGAGCAGATGGAGTAGAATGAGAAGGAATAGAGGCTAGAACCCTTATTTTACCCATGAGAGCTCGCATGGGGACAATGAACATTAGAGAAGGTATAATTGACCCCCAGTGAATGCCATTTTTGTCACTGCGTTGGGAGACCACAGAAAGACAAATGCTCCTCCTGGCTCAGTATTTCAGGTGGATTTAATTCAGCACAATTCTCTAGTTTTTGGATCGTGGTGTTATACCTGGAGCTAAGACAAGTCTCCAGCTTACTCCACTTGGAATCCATGAGTGGTGCCAGAGGGACACCTCAATGTCATATAATAAAAATGTGTTTGGGATGGTTTTTAAAATTCTTTTTTCTTTGATTTTTCAAATCAGTGTCTTATCAGAAGATTATAAAAATCAATAAAAAAAGAATATTTACTATTCATAAGTATTTGAAAAAAAGGCTGGAAGCTGTATAAAGGGTGGTAAATGTTCATTTCTATTCCTTTTAGAAAGCAATTTTATCTTTAGATAAAATTAGAAGCTTTTGTTTTATTTCAAAGATCAGTAAGTGAATTCTAAATCAGAATAATTGATTAATAATGGTTTATTTATTGCGAGTGAACGCACAATGCTTCAATTCAGTATCGCAAACTTACTTACGGACTGACCAAAATTAATGTTTGAGAATACTGATGGCAAATAGAACACTGAGATGAAATGTAACTGGAATAGAAATGAAACTATAGCTCTTGCTTGTTCTTTAAAAAGCAATTTAAAACAGTCCTTACAAACAATAGAGTGCATTAGAAAGGTGGGTTAGGCCAAAGACACAGTGGTGTTACCTAAACTCAAGACATGAAGGCTTTATGTTCCAGGACTTTGAATCCTGGGGGACAGAGAAGCACGAGGAATGGTCAGTAAGACTGTCCCTGCTTTAGTGATGATTTGGGCTGAGTGCCAGCTTTCTGGGCTTGCCTTAGCACTTCCTTATCCCCTAGAGCAGCTCTGAAGCCTCCCGAAGGTCCTAGGAAACCCAGAAGGCTCTCCAGTATGTTTTCTTCTGCCTAAGAGGCCCAGAATTGGTTTTGTCACTGAAACTAGAGGGCTTATTTAGGTTTCCCTCGGTTTTAGTTTCTATTGCCTAAAACCAAGAAACCTGCTCAGAAAAAAACTTTGAGGTGGTCACCTGAATCTGTTGATTTCCAAATAATGAGATGCTGAAAACAGGGAAGGCCCTGCTCGGCCGTCATGCTTCTTGGGGACATGTTATACTTACGGTTGTGGAGTCAGAAGAAAAGACATGCTTGTTTATTATTTACTTACAGACAAGTGTCATCCTGGAGAATAGTCACAGAAGAAATGAAAAAGTATCTGGGTGTCCTTCACCCATCCAGCCACCCTCTTCCTGTGAGAACCGGGATCCAGTCTCCTCATTCAACCTGCTCTCAGGAAACTGAAGCGAATGAAAGAGGCCAAAACTTACTGCTCAAAGGCATCTACTCAGGAAAATCAAACTCCAGAGTATGACAGGCTGAAAACTAAGGAATGGAACTTCCTGATTTTGCCCATCAAATTCTCAAAAAAGAGTGAAGTGACAAAACGTTAGGTCTTAAATATAAGTGTGACACTTTCTGACAATTAAAATGGTGTCATCTTACACCCCGTCATGTCTGGGAAAGATATAATGTCAAATCACATAAGAAATATTTAACTCTGGTGAAATGGTTGCTGTGTCTCTGGGGGATTTATAGACATTTTACACACTTGTTTTAAAAAAGGAATCCTGAGAGTATTTCCAGATCGCACAGTGATGCAACTGTTTCAATAGGTAATGAGTACTATTTTTAATTTTGACAGCTTTTATTTTGGCCCATGGTTTCCTTTTTAATATGTTGGTGGCTGCTTTTTTATTCTCATGTAGAATCCATTCTAGGTTTCTCTTTCTTTTTGAGCAGAGTCTGACTCAAAGGTGAACACCATTTTCATATTTCTATCTTCTCGGTTCCCTCTTACCTGCAATTCATTTCAATAAAGGCTTAATTAGCCATTCACAAGTTAATGTGCCAATATTTTTAATTGATTGTGGCTCACATATCAAGGAAATATCCTTGCAAATTATCTCCTAAAGATTATTTCAATTTGCAGATGAAAATACATTATTTATTATATAGTGGTCCTAGCAGACAATAATTTTAAGCATAACGTAGGAGTGTACCTTACCCTCGGAGGTTGTGCTTCTAAAGTCAGTGTGTAAGATGAAAAATGTATGCATGGGCCATGGATGTAGCTCAGTGGCACCGCGCCGGCCTGCCAAGTGCAAGGTCCTGAGCTCAATCCCTGGTACAAAAAAAAAAATTTCTTTTTAAATAGAAAAATGTGTGTAGTCAAAATTAGCCCCTTGGCAAGGCCCATAAATGGCACTGCACTAGGCATGATAGCCTAGTTTCTGATGGCCCTACACAGTCTCACAGGTGACCCCTTCTTCAGTGGACCACAAGATCCTTAGCATGTTGAATAAAAACTAATTACTTTTAAACACTAGAATCACACTTAGCCTGACACTATAAGATATGCATGGGAGCAGCAGAATGCTATTACATCTCAAGCTCCCCACAAGCAAGGTGCTGTCTTCAATACGGCCTGAATGTCAGGCCTTATTTAAGCTGCTCCCTGACTCTTGTTACTTCCCTCCCCCTACCTACTTTTCTCTCTTTTTGCCAAGAATATGCAGCTGAATTTAAGCTAACTACTGTACATGATAACACAGGCCTATAAACAACAACAGTATCGATTGTTTCATGGCCCAGTCTGCTATCAGATGTTTCCACATTGTTATATCTGTATTGTTTCTTGTATTAACAAAATTCACACTTGAATTTCAAACCCCCTGGCAAAAGCTTCTATGCTCAGTTCTCAAAAGAAACCACAGAACTTTACTTGCAATCAACAGGGATAGACACTCAGCAGATTGTCCAAGACCTAAAGTCTGCTCACTCAGAAAGCCAGGGTCAGGCTGAAGTGCTTCCTTCATCTTTTTGCCCCTAAAGTGTTTTGAAGGTTCCTAGAAGATGCTTATGGTGTGAAAAGAAAGGAAAGGGGCAGTGAGAAAAAAGGTGGAGGATGCAGAAAGAAAAGAGCAAGTAAGGTCAGAAAGGCAAGAAGGAAATAGGGAAAGGGAGAGAGGGGAAGGGAAGGAGAGAGCTGGTGGGACAGGAGCACGTGTTTTAGGGCTGAGGCTACACACCGGGAACTTGGCAGCCTCGAGGAAAATGTACCTTCCAAACCTAATGATTAAACACCAGTTACTGTATCAGACTGCCTGGGTTTGAATCCTGGCTCTACAATGTAGTAGACGTATAGTAGATCTGAACCTTTGTCTTAATTACTTTTCTCATTGCTGAGACAAAATACTCAACAACCAAAGTTAAAGGAGGAAAGGTTTATTGCAGCTCAGTTTGTAGAGGTTTCAGTTCATACTTGGCTGGCTCCAAAGCAGGGTGCCACGGCAGAGGGGCATCGCAGAGCAGAAGGTAGCCAGCAACAGGCAACAAGTGACAACCAGTGGCCTTCTCTCTGTCCCTTATATCCTGTGCAGGCTGCCCACCCTTAGGGCGGTAGCACTCACACCCAGGGTGAGACAGCCTTAGTCCTAGCATTGCACCATGAATCAATCCCAGCCTCACACACCCTAGCATCAGTCACCTGTAACCGCACGAAGCTTTGGGGGGACATCTAGATACCAGTCACAACAACCTTTATATGCCTCCACTTTCTTATCTGAAAGATGGGGGTAGTGATAGTATCCTACCTCAAAAGTTGTGGACAGCATTCCACACTTGGTGGCTGGGACGGGGAGCACACATTACTGTGGCTACCCTTGCACGTCATGAAGAATCCACCCACTTAGCAATGGAGAACCATCATTACTTCACAATGATGCAGTATAAGCAGTCCTATTGTTCCATAATGTTATGTAACTTTTCCCAGATGACTTTGCACCTGAGAAAATTGAAAGAAATAATATGAGGAGGAGCATAGTATGTGAAGGTCTTCCATAGATGGGTCTTCCTTCTGGTTTCTGCTTTGTTTCCAGGAAGAAAAAAAACTTCCAACATGTGCTCTGCAGGTTGATGCAGGCAGCCTTGAAAGCCAATGTCTAACCATTGTCCATCCTAAGTGAAGATGTTTGCAGTATCCTCCTTGATGATGCTGTAGAGGGATGACAGTCTCTGTGATCCCCAAATGCACTGAGTTATTAGCAAGCTATTTGTACTGTCAGATTAATAAGATGTCTTGACCAAAGAAAAGTTCCAAAGTAACACATTCTTTCCCTCTTTGTTTAGAAATAGCACTCCAGGTTTCTTCAGTGAATCATCCATTCCCCATGCAAAGGCAACATGGTTTGAGTAGAGCCGATATTCTCCATACTTCCTACCGGATCAAAGGGTGGCCATGACCACACTGTCCTTCTGGTGACAAGGACTGAGTCAAAACCGGACACTCGAGCCAAGTTTGGCCAAGGAGAATCCACTCTGGGATATATGCAGCAACACAGGAACATTGAGGATGTTGGGGCAGTGAAAGGACAATTTGAGATGGTTTACAAATCAAGTTCATTGTTCAAGGAAAAACAATAAGCTCAAGTCTTCCTTGTGTCCATCTTGTCATTTAGATGGAGAATATGAACCCAATTATGTTTGGAAAATGGTCTATTATCCTGCCCTCATTGAGGAAAGAAGAAAGACACACAGCTTTGGCATCCTGTTGAAAATTCCGAATGAAATTATCCTTCCTGCTGGATAATAGGCCTCCTCATGACCTGTGTAGAATCCCAGCACTATTATTTATCATTGTTGATCAGTTTTAAAGTTCCGAGGGCTGTGGGCTCACAATTACAAGAGGAAGAAGACAGGTGTGCCTGGGAAATTATGGAGTTGCTATGAGACGTTAATTTCATTTTCTCATTAATATGTAAGCACAGAGCATGGGCTACACGGTGTGTACAGCCGGGGACTGTGGGTTTCACCAGAGGCCGATGCAGCCACAGCCACACTCCATGGGGAGCTCACTTTCTGGTCGGGACATGTTGGAAACAGTGAAGCATCAACGTATTCACAAGTGAGTGTATAAAGTAAATTCAGAGAGTGTGAGTGCTTGAATAAATACAAATAGTACAAAGAGCAAGCAGCTTGTGGGATTTGCCTCTTCAGAGTGACGCAGCTTTGCCGAGGAGTGAAAGGGCTCATGCCAGGAGGACCAGTGCGAACCTCTGGTTTAGGAGACAAAATACAGAATAATGGGTTCACTTTGAAATTCCAATAAACAACACAAAGCATTTAATAGCCCAGGTAACAAAACCGCTTTTTTTTT